GGAAGCCAAGCCGCCCGCGGGCCGCCGAACGCACACAGGCCGGGCCGCCGAGCTCGTCCCAGAGAAGAGAACGGCCACCGCGGCGGGCGCGCCGCCCCAGCCCCTCACCGCCAACTCCTGCTTCCGCTTCACGAGCTCCGCCAGCTCCCGCCGGGTGTCCGGGATCTGCGGCGGGGCCGCCTTGTTGTGCATCGCCATGTTGGGCTGGTGCGGCGGCGACGGCGCGAGGCTGGGGGCGGGTCCTTCCTGCGCGTTGCCGCCGAGCCCGCCAGGGGGCGCTCCGCCTACTGCGCCTGCGCGTGCCGCTTCCGGTCAGGCTCACGTCGGGCGCTTGAAACCCTCCCCAGTCCATACAGGTTTCCGTGCCCGGGGGCTAACCTCTGGGACTTACGGACAGCGCAGTCTACCGGGTCTGCTGCTGCTGCTTCAGCCTCCTGAGCATCCCGTGTGCCCCACCTCGCTGAATGCCTTTCTACATCCGTTGAATTGCCCAGGTTTGAAACTTGGGTACCATCCTCGCTCACCACCTGGACTGAGATCCGATCCAAAACCGAGTTCGGTGGGCTACGCTCAGGAAGACATCGCAATCCATTGCTTTTGTCTGTCTTCTGCCACCAACTTGGTTCATTCAAGGTCTCCCCATTTTTGGCCACATGTCTCCAACAGTCTCCTTATCCTCATCCTTGGCCCCATTTAGCCTAATATCCACAATGGTGCTGGAATGGTCTTCCCGTTTAAAGCCTCTCAGTGGCTTCCCCTCGTCTGTTAGAGAGACAGTATGTAAACTGGCTATGGGCACAAACTGGAGCCAGAACTACCTTGTTCAAAATCCTTCCTCTGCATTCATGAACTGTCTTCCCGGGCAAGAAACTATTTCACTTGTCTCAATTTCTTCATCGTAATATGCAATACAGGAGGCCTTGGATTCTATTACTAGCACCAAAAAGAAAAAAAAAAGTCTCTTTTTTATATAATTAAGTTTATTGGTATACTTTACATATACATAATAATCAAATTCATCATAGGGAATTTGTACCTATACATGATATATTTTGAATTGTCTCTTTTTTTTTTTTTTTTTGAGACAGTCTTGCCATGGAGTTTAGGCTGACCTTGAACTCACAGCAATCCTCCTGCCTCAGCCTCTGGAGTACTGGGGGAACACGCATTTGCCACTAGGCCGGGCAAAAAAAAAAAAAAAAGTTTACCCGGAGTCTCACCTCCATTCCCCTACAATTTCAAGTTCTTTCAAACTCTCATTAGACACTTGTTCCCCATTTCTTAGCCTCTTCTGGCAATCTACTCATTCTCTGAGGCATAAAATTCTCTTAAACTCTGTTTCTAAACTAGGTGTGGTGGCACATGCCTGTAATCCCAGCATTCAAGGGGCTGGAGGCAGGAGACAGGGTCATCGCTGTGAATTTGAGGCCAGCCTGAACTACATTGTAAGACTGTCCAAAAAACCAAAAACAAACACACACACAAAAAACGTATTTCTTGGCATTTCCACGATCCCCAGCACTCCTCCCATTTAGCACCGTCTGTACCTCTCCAGTCCTATTGCACTGCAAATGTAGCATCTGGTCATCTAGCAACTCAGGAGACAGAGTGGGAAGCCTCATTTGAACCCAGGAGTTGGAGACCATCCTGGGCAACTTAGCAAGGCCCTCATTTCATGTGACTTTTTGAATTGCAGTCCTATCTACCACTGTAACCTAGATCTCTCTGTGCCTTAGTCTTATTTGCAAAGTGGAATGTGACTTGAAGGCTGCCTCATTGACTCATGAGGATGAAATGAGTTCCTCTAAATTAGTGCACATGCAAAATGCTTAGATCTTTACCTGGTTCACAGGAAGTACTCCTCAACAGTGGCCAGTTTTATTGTTCTCGATTCGTGGCACTTTGGCACTTAATTACTGGCCAGCTGTCTATTTTATCCATCAACATGGTAACTTCCAAGTAGCGCTGATACTTTGTGAGGGAAGGACTTGCCTGAGCCACGCTTGACCCCCAGGAGTCCCATCCAATGTAATTTCCTTGAACCCCCTATGAATGGAGCAGCCTAATGAATCAAATGTCTTTCCCCTCTACTCTCTACTGAGCTCTCCAAGTGGGAACAGTCTAGGAGATTATTTGCATCAGGACTGAATGATTTCCTCACTCCAGCGCTCCCACTATGGGAGTTTAGGTATACAATTTATAGACTCCTTTCCACTGCTACCTGGACTGTTGAGTTGGGCACAATGCTGCCACCTTCTTTTTTTTTTTTTTTTTTTATACCGCAAATCAATCTCAGGACCTTGCACTTGCCAGGCAAGCGCTGTGCCGCTGAGCTATATCCCCGACCCTCCAATGCCCTCTTAATAGTACTGACTTAAAGAAAAACAAAAACTTTTTTTTAAAGATAGGGTCTCACTATGTAGTTCAGACTGGTCCTGAACTCACTACATAGACCAGGATGGCCCTGAACTTGCTGTATTATTCCTGCCTCGACCTCCTGAATACTAGGATTATAGGCATGTACCAACATGCCATGCCAAAAAAAAAAAAAAAAGAAAGAAGAAAAAAACTTATTTTCAACAAGGCATGATGGCAGAAGCCTGTAATCATAGCACTCTGGGAAGCTGAGGCAGGATTACTGATTCAAAACTCACCTAGGAAACTTAGTGAGACCCTATCTCAAAACAGAAAATTTTTAAAAAGGCTGGCAATATAGTTCAGTGCAAAGGCCTTGGGTTCAATCCTCAGTACCATCCCTCCAAAAATATATATATTCTCAAACATCATCTTTCACAAGGTGCACCCCACATTCCAGTTGTTGCTCCCTGTTTGACTCACAGCTACAAACCAACTGCTAGTCTAGCAAGCACAGGCAACTGATTGGTGGGAATAACTATTTGGGGGTTTTGCCAGAGTTCTAAGTAACTGTCTTTTTGTTTTCTATTTGATAAATACACTAGAAACTACCCAAGAAACCAAATGTTTTGGCTTTACATCCCAAAATTTTAATTTAAATCAAGGCTTTTCATCTGATATAAACTCACATAGGCTCCAATTAATGATATCACTCTGTTCCTAAGATCCACAACCAATTCCCACAACATGAAAGACACAAAAAAGTATAACCACCTCTGCACCATATAAAATGATACTCACTTGATATACGTATTTAAGTTGTAAGCTTTTTAAAACTAAGCTATATTGTATACTAGCACACTCAACACAGTAATAACATTTAAAAAAAATCTTTCATTATCTCAGTGACTTCTGCTTCATCACCAGGATACAATAAAAATATTTTAAGAGTTTCATCACCAGTTGTTATTTGATGAGCTTTCCTTTGTCAGTGTTAGAATGAGGGAATTCGAATGTGATTAGGAAGTGATGAAGATTGTGTTCCCTACCACTTAGAACCATGGACCACCAGAGAGGGTGTTGGGGGAAGGTCTCAGAAGCAATGAGCTGTCCTGCAGTATACACTGATTTAGGCAGCAGTGATTTGCAGGCAAGCCAGCCAGTGGGGAGAAATGATGAAACTGCAACTATCCAAGATGAACATGAGTCTCCAAGTTTTAGAGATAGTCTTTATCTTGGATGTCCCTAAAAAAAAAAAAAAAAAAAAAGGCAAAGCAAGCCAAAAGACACCTTCCCAGATGTTTGGCATTAAGAATCTGTTCATCCAGGAAGCTACTGCTCTACTAAAGCAAATGTTCATTATATAACTGGGACCACTTACTGGAAACTGTAAGCAAAGCGGTCATTAACCAGAGTCCAGCAAGGAAGTGCCTGAAGCAAAGCCCAAGACTACTGGGCAGCAGTTGTAAGCAGCACACAGTGAACAGAGCCCCTACAGTGAGGTTCCACATGAACGCCTAATTCCAGAGAGACAATCTTCTATCTGGATGCAAAAAAAACTCACCAAATCTACTTTTTAGATAAACGCGTTAGTATGTGACCTATGGCACTTGTGAAGCGAGGAAAATGCCAGTTTGAGAGGTCAACATAGAACAGAGTATAAAATGCTAATTGCTCTTCCATTGATGATTGCAGTTTCCCTTCATCTGACTTTAAGTGTTCACTCTTCAAAGGGGATCTTTTAATTTCTTTTGAATGAATATCAGTGAGCTGCCCTCTCATGCATAAGCCAACTTCTGGCCAAGTAGATGTGGGAATGTGCAACCGTAAAGCAAAACCAACAGAAAAGAAGACAATCTGATTTAGCAGCATTCTAAGTTAGCATTCTAATGGGCAGAGTTAATAGCAGCATCACTTCCCTTCCTCCCCACTGTCACCTGACAGTGAAATGTAAAGATGGTACTTCACTGTGTGAGAGGGCAGCTTCGTATCACTGCTCATCCCAAGCTCTGGATATTCTGGGAAGGAAAAACCCTTCACTGCTAGTTCAGAAATGTACTGCTACCTAGGTGTGACAATGCCCACTTGCTGATATGTGAGGTTTTGAATTCTGGAGCAGGTATGGGTCCTCTTTTCACTATTTCTGTTACGGCAAAAATTTGGGCTGTATTCCACAGGAGACCAGAGAGAAAAAAGTTTTAATTTAGATTGGTTACCTCTCATCCTGACTTGCAAGTCAGGGAAGTGGGAATGGACCTGCCTTTGTTCCCAGCTTATATACATTTTTGGTTTCCATGGTAACAGATTGGCATGTTGTAGCCCTGGCCACATGTTGTTTTCCTTGCACCACCTAACCGGGTCAGGCTTCAGTCATGAGCCCAACCACAATGATATATACTTTCTGTACTCTGTTCTGTATGTCCCCCTTTGGATAACGATACATTTCCTTTATGGTTACAATGTTTATCTAGGGCCAGGGGAGGGATGAAACAACCCAGGCAGGGTCATAGGAGGTTATCTGAGCCCAGGTGCTCTTTGTCCTTGGAGAAGCATTCCAGGGCTAAGTCAGGACTGCAAAGTTAACTCTTTACAACCCTCCAGGATGTTTCTCAAGACACATTTTGAGACTTGCATTAAGACTAGAATTATTCTATCTTAAAATGATATGCTAAGAGTCATCGTCCCCTAATTTCCTGGTCTCCCCACCACCCTAAATAACTACCTATCTTTACCTCAAAAATACTGATACAAAGGCTCCTTTAGCAGCAAAGAGACATATGGATACAAAGTTGTCTATGCTAGGAAAGTACAGTATTATCCTTTGAAATGGGTCTATATTTACAAATTTTATTTTTATCTCAAAAATACATATAAATGAAAACCTGCTCTTCAAATGCAGGGAGGCCATGTGGTATTACATTTTTTTCACAAAACATTATATGAAAATCAGTATGCAGCTCTTTTAACACAGTTTATATATACGTGTATATATACATAGTATTTTATGTAAGTAGTTAATACTTTTCTACTTACTGTCCTATAGTGAAAACTAGGAAACTGGGCAGTCCCCTTGCTTTCCAGCTTCTGGAGGTAAATACCTCTCTGAACAATTTTTTAAAGATGAAACATGTAAACTACATAACCTTCTTTAGACATATATACATGCTGTTAGAATAAAGCAAGGACCCTGTCAGGTAAGTGACAGCGTAGTTCTGAAAGAAAAAAAAAAGTTTGAATAAAAATGTAAAACTGAAGACAAGATGATGAAAATTGTTATGTACATGTTCCACGGAGAAATCAGAAATTTTCTCATAGGAAGCAGATCCACAATGCATTTCTGCCTCTCATGATATTAAGTCAGCATGCGCTGTTATTAGCCATGATCTTCCTATATAGTCATGTGCTTCGGCAGGTGCCACAAAGCATCCATTTAACAGTCAATAATGAGGTCATACGGTAGCCACCCCCAAGAAACTCAAAGCGAAAACCAAAAACTAAGTGCAAAATCAACTTGTATGACTCAAGAGCTTCACCAGGTTGAAGCTTTGGTATGTGCTGGAGGCTGTTCTGGTGACCACCAAAGCTTAGTAAGATTCTCTACTCAGGGGTTTGCCCCGCAAAAACAAAACCTCTTGGTCCACAAAACTTAGTAACTATATAAATAAAGTAACTGTACAAAGAAAACAAGCCACAATTCCCTTTTAAGCAAGGGTTTAGTTTCCTCAGGAGCAGATCTGAAAACAAATACCCACAGGCATGTGGCCGATGTGCCACAGAGAAAGTTCAACGAAACGTAAGTCAGTGTTCTTCAACTATAATGTAAGCTGTCTGGCAAAAGAAGACTTAAGGCAGTAAGAGGCGCAGCACAGTGCTCTCTGAGTCAATCCCAAGGTGTTCCAAGAAAGAAAGTAGTTCGGGTTCTTAGTCTGCTAGCTGTCAGAAACTACTTCCTCCTCGTAGTCGTCCTCATCTTCCTTCCTGTCTAGTTCAGAGGTATCTGATGACTCATGTAGTAGGACATACTCTCTGCTGCTGAATCCAAATTTAAGTACATCCTTTTCTTTTAGTTCATAGTATCTCTGTGGCTCAATTCGCTTATTGTTTAAGAAAGTTCCATTGCCTGAGCCCAAGTCAATGATGTAGGGCTTCACCCTCCGGCCAACAGTACCATCAGCGCGAGTGTATTCCACAAGCCTAGCAGAGAGAAAAGAGAGAAGTGGTGAGCAAAACCCTACCTCAGATACCCAGCCTTCTCTAACTAAAGGTCTGTACAAAGCCTAGATGACGTAAGTAACCTGGTTTGAATACAATTCAGGTTAAAACTAGGAAATCAAGGGGAAAGCACTGTGCTGGATAGTAAAACGGGGAGTATGGCAGTTTATATACACGCACTAGAAGAGTAAGAACTGGCTGCTGCTGCTAGGTGGATGGAGGGAATCCATGATAGATGAAAAGCCTGAAATGCAAAATTCAGCACTCTTGTCAATTCTGTTGTATATCACCAATGTTTCTTCAGCATTTTAATGTTTTCTTATATATATATACATGTGTGTATATATATGTGCATGTATATATATATGTGTGTGTATGTATATCTATCTAGATAGATAGACAGACAGACATGTATTTTTTTTTCTTTTTTTGGTCTTTTTGAGACAGGGTCTCACTCTGCAGTTCAGGCTGGCCTTGAGCTCACTTTGTAGCCCAGGCTGGTCTCCAACTTGCTACGATCCTCCTGCCTCAGCCTCCCAAGTGCTGGGATTACAGGTGTAGCCACTAAGTATGGCTATTTTAACATATTTTAGCTTCATTCAAAATGAGAAAAAACAGTGGACTTGGACTTCAAAGTCAAGGGAGGTAGATTTGAGCCAGAGTTCTGTATGCTGATCATTTATTTATTAGGCAAGTCGCCTGCCTCTACTAACTTTGACTTTCTCTTACATCAAATAGGAATAGTAACACTAGTTGTATGTTCCTCAGAGGAGTGTTTTAAGGGCCACATAGTAACAGATACTACTACATAAGTTAGGCAGGTGCAGTTTCAGCTACTATATATGCCAGACATTTTCAGTTGTATCTCCATTAACCTTCATAACAACCCAGTGAGGCAGGTGGACACAGGCCCAGACAGTGGCTGTCCTTGCATCAAATACTTGGAAAGCAGCAATGGCAGAATTCAAAACCCGGGTTTCTGACACCAAGTTCAATGCTCTCATATGAATAAATGAAGTGCAGGCTTGGTGGCATATGCCTGTAATCCCAGCACTTAGGAGGCTGAGGCAAGAGGACTGCCTCAAAAAAAAAAAAAAAGAGGACTGCCTCAAATTCAAGGCTAGCCTGGGCTACATAGTGAGACCCTGATTCCAAAAAAAAAAAAAAAAACGAAAAGAAAAAAAATCAATAAATCTAGTATTAGACATTCTGTGTATACAGTAGTAACTTGGTTCATGAACACTTTTGCTTGTGAACAATCTGGTTTGCAATCAGAAGCATTTGGCAAAATTTTGTTTTTGTTTGTGAACTCTACTTCGGGTGACGAACGCAACCACTTCCATCTTTTCTGGAATCATGGAATGAATTAAGTTCATAAACTGAGGCACCACTGTACATGTAAGCAAATACCAGTAATCCTAACTAACGGAGATATTCAGTGTCTGCCGGCATTTTGGGCGCTTCTTCTACACGTATACCTACCGATACTGAAAGACTGCATGCTGCTTTGAACACGACGGATGATCGATAGGAATGTCGGCGATCCGGCGGTGCCGACCCAAAAGGTAAGCACTTTGTCGATGGATGTACATGACAGGGAGTACTTCATCATTTTTAAAGGGGTAGAGACGCCACCGTTTTTTGGGGATACGTGCTTCTGGGGGCTCGCTGTATTTAATGACTACACCCCGAAAGGTGTTAGTATCCTCAAGAAGAGCCCCAGAGAGTTCAAAGCTTGGTTTTTCCTTCACAGGCACCTCTTTGTCTTTACTGTTGCCCCCAGGCCGAGGTACCAACTCCTGAGCACCACTACCATTTCCGCTGCCCTCCCTCTTCTGGCGGTGCTCCCGTCGTCTGGCGTTGTAGAACTCTCGCTCTTCTTCCTGAGCCTGTAGGTTCTGGCTGTCTCGCTCCCGTCCCTGAGGCGGCCCACTCCCAGGCCTCTCACCAGAGCTTCTCCTTTGGCGGGAATGACCCCGGTGTCTGCCTCGGTCACTGTTCCTAGCCCTTTTGTGTTCCTGATTAGATGGTTCACGGTGCTGCCGATCCTCCCGTCCTCTCCGGGGGTGATCCTCACGTTCCTGAAATTCAAACAGACTTAGTATGTGAAGCAGGTCACCATCTATGAATGAGCTGTACTTCAGTCACTGGGGATCTCCACTCTGGCATTCAGGTCAGAATTTCCCACAGACGTAAGGTAATCAACCTGTGGTAATTATATTCCCTGACAAGGCCATTAAGATTACGCACTATGCTTCTACTTGTCTGTAGGCCTAACAGCACAAGCTCATTTCCGGTGTGCCCAAAAACTGGTACACAAAGGAAAAATACCCTCCCTTCAGAACATGTATAAACCACAGACAAATTTACAACAGAGTATAAAGAGAAAACAGAACAAGTGTTAAGTAGTTATATACTAAATACATAAAGAAAAAAGCTAGGTTTCTCTTATGCCAAAAATAAAACCACAAGTAAACTTTCTTTTTTTTTTTTTTGAGACAGGGTCTTGCTAGGTAGTCCAGGCTGGCAATGCACTCACTATGCAGCCCAGAGTGTCCTGGAACAGGAAATCCTCCTGCTTCAGCCTCCTGAATGCAGGGATTACAGGCATGTGCCACTATTCTCAGCTTCATAATAGTAATTTTGAAGAATAATAAAACTTATTTTTTAACTAATAATAAATTTCCTAGCTTGATCCCAGTACCACAACAAAACAATGAAGATGTAAGAAACCTGGAGCTGGTGCAGTGGTGCACACCTGTAACCCCAACACTCAGGAAGGCCAAGGCAGGAAGATCACCCACTGGAGCCCAGGCTAGGCCACTCAGCAAGATCCAGTCGCAAAATAAAAATAGTGAGAAAAGGGCTAGGAAAAAGCTCACTGCAAAGCCCCTGGGTTCAATCTCCAGTATTATTGGGGAAGGTAGAGCATGTAAAAATTTATTATATTTTTCCTTTTTCTCTTTTTAAAAATTTTTTTGAGACTAAGTCTTGCTATGTAGCCCAGGCTGGCCTTGAATTCATAATCATCCTGCCATAGTCTCTTGAGTGCTGGGGTTATATGTGTGAACCTCCATGCCCAGTGACATTTTTTAAGGACTTGAAAAAAATGCAGAACTATCCATTGTTTCTTGAAAACTAATGCTTTGAAACTCAGCCCACTAGAAAAATTTTCATATTATTAATATATCAGTAAAAAAATAAATCAGTAAGACAAATAATTCAATAGAAAAATGGTCAAGCCAGCCGTGGTGGCACACACCTGTAATCTTAGCACTTGGAAGGCTGAGGAAGGAGAATCACTGAGTTCGAGACCAGCCTGGACTACACAGTGAATTCAAGACCAGCCTGAACCACACAGCAAGACCCTGTCTCAAAAAAAAAAAAAAAAAAAAAAAAGAAGTAAGTTTAATAAATACTCAAAGGTAACCCTCACTTTAATAACCAAAGCATCAGCTCTAAAAGAAATATGAATTTTCTCTTTTAGAGTAGCAAAATTAAAAAGACCAATAACAGTGACTGTCAAAAAAAGAGAACAAGACAATGGATATTCTTAGCACTGCTACTCTAAGTATAAAATGGTATAGCCTATTTAGGGCAATTTGGCAGTATTTAATCAAAATTTCATAAACTAGTAATCCCACTCACAGGGATCTAGCCCACAGAAATGCCATTTATATGTGAGGGAGTTTACTGCAATCTTATTTATAGTAACAAAAATTGAAAATAACCTCATCTTCCTTAGTAAGAACGTTTAAATGATTACATTTCATAAAGGAGTACTTCACAGTCACTAAAAGAGAATGAGACAATGACAAAATACTTAAAATATTAAATGGAAAGGAAAAGGGGGGAGCAAGTTTCATAATGGAGATATCTCCACTTGGCAGACCAGATACGCAGAGGGGTGTTCCCACTGTAAATAGTAAATAAAAACATTTAACTTTAATGCACTGCTGGGGTCACACAAAGCAAGAGAAAACCTCCAAGGGGGAAAGATCAACTAAACATGAGCTTTAAAATCAAAGAGACATACAAGGAGACATACAAGGGAACATGCAAGGGAGACATACAAGGGAACATGCCACTGTGCATAAGCAGTGGAAACAAATCCTACCCGAGGACTTCAGGCATTGGACTAGCAATATACAGTACAGAACATTCATGTATAAAAGTGTTGTAGATGACTAAGGTTAAAAACATTTTCAGTCAGGTATGGTGCCACACACCTATATAATCCCAGAAGTCAGGTAGGCTGAGCAGGATTTTAGTCTGAGCCCACCATGGACAACTTAGTAAAACTGTCTCAAAATATTAAAAAATGATTGCAATCAGGGTATGGTGGTACATACCTGTCATCTCAGTGCTGTGGGAAGCTGAGGCAGGAGCCCAGCTCCTGTTCAAGCCCAGTTGAGGCAATGTAATGATTTACCAAGACCTCAAAATTTAATAAAACACTTAGCACCACTTCTCATTGCATTTATGCTTAGAGGGAAAAAACTGAACCTGAATCTGATCAAGACTTGAGATGTAACTATCAACTTAATAGGAAAAACAAGGGCCACTATAATCTATTAAATGACTCCGGTGAATGCAAATTTAACTGCAAAGGAAAAAAAAGAAAAAGGAAAGAGGAATCTATAGACTCAATGATATTTAGAGTTGGATGTGGTGGCACACACCTGTAATCCCAGCACACAGGAGGTTGAGGCAGGGAGGATCTTTAGTGTGAACTTACTAAATCAGTGAAACCCTATCTCAAAAAAAACCCAAATAAAAACCAAACCAAACGGTTTTTTTTTTTGGTTTTTTTTTTGGGGGGGGGTCTTTTTGAGACAGGGTCTTGCTATGCAGTTCAGGCTGGGCTTGAGTTCACTTTGTAGCCCAGGCTGGTCTCGAACTCACAACAATCCTCCTGCCTCAGCCTCCCGAGTGCTGGGATTACAGGCATGTGCCACCACTCTTGGCCAAACCAGAGACTTAAACACTGATCTATTACAATATGCAGATCTTAAATTTTGATCCTGATTTGAACAGTAAAACTTACACAGAAGCCAGTCACAGAAACATGAACACTGACTAGATATTTCATGTTAGAGGATTATTTCAAATTTATGTTACAGATGTAGCTCAGTGGGAGAGTATGCACTCAGCACTGCTGGAAGCCCAAGATTCAATCCCCAGAACCAAATAAAACTTAGGTGATCTTATTCCCATTGGGATGACTACTATCAAAAAAACAGAAATAGGGACTCAGGATGTAATCAGTGCTACAGCACTTGCCTAGCATGCCGAGGTCCTGGCTAGGACGACAAAACAAGAAACAACTTAAAAAAAAACACAAATAAACAAACAAAAAACAAAACAAGAAACAACTGAAAATAACAAATATTGCAGAAAAACATAAAGAAACTGGGACCTCCAGGTACTATTAGCAGGAATGATAAAATGGTATTGCCATTATGGAAAACAACGTGAGAGATGTTCAAAAAATAAAAAATAGAATTATTATATGATCCACTAATTTTATTTGTAGAATTGATAGCAGGGTCTTGAAGAGATATTTGTACAATCAAATTCATAGCAGCATTATTCAAAATAGCCAAAAGGTGCTGCCACAGATGAATAGATGTATTACAATGGAATATTATCCAACTTGAAAAACGAAGGAAATTCTGACACCCACTATAACATGGATAAACCACAAAGGATGTTACGCTAGGTGACATAAGCTAGACACAAAAGGACAAATAATGTACTATTCCACCTGTGTGAGGTGCTTAGAGTAGCGCCATCCATAGACACAGAAAGTAAAAGGGTGGCTGCTAGGGGCTGGGGAGGGAAGGAACTTACTGCTCTAAGTTGCTAAATTGCCCAGGCTGGGCTTGAACTTGTGCCCCTCCTGGCCTCAGCCTACCGAAGTACTAGGATTATAACTCTTAGAGCGTTGCAATTACAGCTGTGCACTGTTCCAGGCTTTGTGGTTTGTCTTTTTTTTTTTTTAAAGAATCTTTATCAGGGGGCTAGGGATTGAGCTCAGCGGCACAGCACCTGCCTGGCAAGCGCAAGGTTGTAAGTTTGATTCCCGGTACCGGAAAAAAAACAAAAGCCAAAAACAAACAAACAAAAAGAATCTTTATCACTTAGAGCTATGTTCTAAAATACTTACAAAAAAAAAAAAAAAAAGAGAGAAAGGGCTGGGGATTTAGCTCAGCGGCACAGCAGCTGTCTGGCAAGCACAGATAGTAAGTTTGAGTCCCAGTACTGGAAAACAACAACAAAAAAATAAAATAAAATATTTACAGATCGGTTGGTGATGTAGCTCAGTGGCAGAGTGCTTGTCCAGTGTGCACAAGACCCTGGGTCCAAACCCCAGTACCACAAAAAGAAAAAAAAAAAAAGTACAATATTTACAGATAAAATGGTATGTCTGGAACTTGCTTCAAAATAATCTTGAAGGACGGAAAGGGAAGTAAGTAGGAACAGATATGAAACCAAAGGGCAAGACTCTTTATGCTGAATAATACAAGGTGGCTCATTAAATGTTAGAAATTCTCCATCCTAAAACATTAAACAAAAACAGCCAGACAATGGGACAAAGAACAAAATGGAACTTTTCATAACAAGTATCTATCCTTAGGTTCAAGCAGCTAAACAAATCCTAAAATGGATAAATAAAAAGAAGTCTGCTGCTGGGCATGGTGGTGCACACCTATAATTCCAGCACTCGGGAAGCTGAGGCAGGAGGATCGCCACAAGTTGGAGGCCAGACTGGGTTACATAGTGACTTACTATGTAATTACACAGTGAGACCCTGTCTCAAAAACAAACAAAACAAAACAAAATAAAAACACCATTGCAAAGAAGAGGAAAAAGAAAGTCTCATATCTGGAGCAAGGACAGTGAGGGAAGGTGTAACCATACTCATTCATCAAGTCCTGCCTTCTCCAGATGTGAAGCCTGTCTAGAGTGAAGAGGGAACCCTGCATCAGCAAGGCTGATCCTCTGGAAAAGGGGCAAAGAGAAATCCTGAGCCCCGGGGCAAAGGCCTTTTCCCTCACTCAAAGCCTTCTCCTTGCACACACAAAGGGTCAGATGGGGACCTGCTGGCTCAGAGTAACACTCGGTTTCTCCAACTTTCCTAGCCTGCGAAGACAAGCTTCCAGAGGGAGCCTGGCACTGGCCCCTTCTACCCTAAAACACTGCTCTGGGTGCCACCTGTATTGAGTTAACCAGGCCTAAGCTCATTACACCCTTTATCCCTGCTTAAGAGTCACTCACTACAGAAGATAAGACTCCTTGCAATCACCCCCACCTCCCTTGTATAATCCTCACATAGCTTTGTGCACCCAGTACTTTGTCCCTAAAATCTCATCCTTCTTCAACTCCTGAGACCAAGAAAAGCCCAGCCACACCCACAGCCTCAGCTCTGCTTTCACAGTGCTTTTCGCCTTTTTCTCTAACAGAACCCTCTCTCAGCCAGTGCTGCTGTGGACAGTGCTGCCCTGAAGCTCTCCCAAATGATAGTGGTTTTCTCCCCCAACACCACCTCTGGGCCTGGACGTATGGTAGGAGTCTTCCATGCTCCTCACTGCCAAATCTAGAACACTTACTAACCTTCCTTTTCACCTAAAACTGCCAGGTCTGAATTCCAGAGACCCTCATCACCCACTTCCCTCAGTGACAGTATCATCTACTGGCCCTAAACTATTTCCTCTCATTTCTTGTCCGTTTTCCTCTTAGTTCGTTCATCACTCTTTCAATAATACCCAGCAACCTTTCTAACTCTGGCCTCTCTATTCTGAGTTCCTCTCTTCCAATGACACTTCTCTTGCCTTCACCTCACTCACCCTTGGCTGTAACAGACCTTTTCATTCCCAATAACAGCAATCCCACAATACTATAATCTCCATTTCAAGGAACCCTTTTTCTAGCCATTGTTATTCTTTCCAACTCATATTTTATCCCAACTGCAATGATCCTTATCCCAACAAGCAGCAATCCTTTGATGCTACTACCTTTGCTCAAGTCTCTCACCCTCTGCAAACTCTTCCGGGCTCACTCAAATTCCACAGTCCAGCATGATCACTTCCTAGCACATACACTGAAATCTTTGCTCTCTTCCATTCTGCTGCACACTCCTGGCACGCCAACAACCAGCACCAACAGGTGAGTGAGGCTGGAGAAAAGAACCATCCATTCTGACTGGCCTCAAGATGGACGATTCCAAGCCTCCTCAAGGATGTTCAGCAATCGCCCTATGCGTCCCTTATCTATTCATTATCCCAGATAAATGCTTCGCTCCTTTCTCCTCAATCTCCAACACTCCTCTCAGAAGGGATTTTTCCCTATCTGCTCACCTATATCAGTACCTGCACCCACACACTCTTTCCTCCCTTCCTAGGTCCCATATCTATTGCCGATCATCAGTGGTATCAACATAGGAACACTGTTCTCTAGACATCATGCTCCACTGCCTGAAATGTCAGTTTGCACCCCATTTCTTCACTGTTCTTTGAAATAAGATTCCTCACAAGTTTTAAAATCAGTTCTCCATTCCTTTCTATCTTCTCATGAGCCTCTCTAATCAGGTTTCACCCTTTGGTGGGCCTGCTGGTGCTCGCCTACAGTCCTACCACTCTGTGAGGCTGAGGCAGGAAGATAACAAGTTCAAGCTCAGCCTGAGCAACTTAGCAAGGCTCTTTCTCTCTTTTTTTTTTCTTTTTTTTTTTTTTTTCTGGCTCTTTCTCAAAATAAAAAATAAAAATGGGCTGAGGATGTAGCTTGGTGTGAAGGCCAGTACCCAAAAGAAACAATAAAACAGAATAGAGGTGCTGGGGATTTAGCTCAGTGGCACAGCGCCTGCCTGCAAGCACAAAGTCATGAGTTCGATTCCCAGTACTGGGGAAAAAAACCAAAAAAAAAAAAAAAAAAAAACAGACTAGAAAACCCAGAAATATATATATATGCCCCAATGATTTTTGACAAAGGAGCAAATAGCAGTCCAGAGTAAAAATGATGCTGAATCAAGTGGGCATTCACAGATCATTCACAGACCAAAAAGTGGACCTCAAGCTAGGTCTCACATCTTACACTGTATTTTAACAAACTGAAAACAGACTATAGACTGAGGTGTTCAAAATCATTAGCCATGAGGCAGGAAGACTGCTGTGAGTTCTAGGCCAGCTTGAACTACATAGAGAAACCCTGTCTCAAAAAAAAGAAAAAAAAAATCATTAGCCATTAAGGAAGTGCAAATTAAAATTATAATGGTTTACCACTACATACCTAGCAGATGGCTAAAATAAAAAATAATCACAATACAAAATTACTGAGAAATGAGATCATTCATATATTGCTGGTAGGAATGTAAAATGATATAGCCACTGCTATGGACTAAATAGTGATCTTCAAAATTAATATGCTAAAGTATCTAAACTCCAATACCTTATAATATAATCATTTTGTGGGACAAGGTCTGTAAAGATGTGATTATGTTAAAGTAAGAGAGGAGCCCGACCCAATATAGCCAGCATCATTGTAAGAAGAGAAAAGAGAGCCTGTGCACAGAGGGAAGGGATGTGAGGACACCATGAAAAGGCAACCACCTGCTGGGCTGGGGATATAGCTCAGTGGCACAGTGCCTGCCTGACAAGCACAAGCTCTTGAGTTTGATTCACTGTACCAAAAAAAAAAAAAGACAACTACCTGCAAACCAAGGAGGAAGGTATCAGAAGAAACCAAACCTGCTGACACCTAATCTTGGACCTGGCTTCCAGAACTACCCAGAGTACTAGAATTCAGGCATGCACCAAGTTTCTTAAAATTTAAATTTGCAACTACCATACCATTCAGCAATTGTACTCCTAGGCATTTAACCCAAAGAAATAAAATGTTTACACAAAAACTTGTACACAAATGTTTAAGCAGGTGTAAGCATAACAAGCCCCGACCCGAAAACAACCTAGATATTTCTTAATGGACTCATGGCTAAATCTGGACCACTATACACCACTCAGCAATAAAAACGAAGGAACAAACCCCTGATCAGTGCAACGACCTGTGTAACACTCCAAAGAATTTTGTTGACTTAAAAAGATCCACTCAGGGCTGGGGATTTAGCTCAGTGGCACAGCACCTGCCTGACAAGCACAAGGTTGAGTTCAATTCCTAGTACTGGAAAAAAAACAAAAAATTTAAAAAAATTTTAAAAATAAATAAATAAATAAAAAGATCCACTCACAAATGTTACATATGATTCCATTCATGACAAAATTATAGAAATGAATAATAGATGAGCCAGGCATGGCAGCACATGCTGGTAATTCCAGCACTCAGGAATCTGAGGCAGGAGGATCAATGCAAGTTCAAGGCCAGCCTGCACTACATAGTGAGTCCTGGCCAACCTGAGCTACACAGCAAGACCCTGTCTCAAAAAAAAAAAAAAAAAAAAAGGAAAACAATGGGCTGGGGATTTATTTAGCTCATTGGTGCAGTGCCTACCTGGCAAGCCAGAGGTCCTGAGTTCAATTCCCAGTACACAAAAACAAAACAAAAGAAAAAAAGAAAAAAAAATAAGCCAGGTGTGGTGGCATATGCCTGTAATCCCAGCACCCAAGAGGCTGAGGTAGGAGGATCACTGCAAATTCAAGACAGGCCTGCAATAGGAAGTGAGCTCAAGGCCAGCCTGAACTGCACATGGAAACCCTGACTCAAAAAAAAAAAAAAAAACCCACAGATGAAAAGCTTCCAGGAGTTAAAGAAAAATAAAGGTAGAAAAGAAATCGATGTGGCTATAAAAAGGGCAACATAAGGGATCCTTGTAATGATGGAAATGTTCTGTATGCGGACTGTACTGTAAGACATCACCACTGAGAGAAACAGGGTAGAGAACATGTATTTATATTATTTCTGACAAATTCAGATTTTTCAGGTGTGAATCAGCAATCACCTCAACATAAAAAGCTTAATTTAAGAAAACAAGCAAGAAAACCTTCAAACACCCAGTTTTTGGATAGCCCATTGCAGCTACAGGAGAAAACGCACTTTTGCTATTATGGGAAGAGGCTCTAGATGTGGACCCAGCATCAAAATTCCTCGATCCACTTACCTCTTTCACTTTGACTGTTGAGTGATGAGGACTTCGGCTTCTCTTACTCCGAGGAGATTTGCTTCTTTTTTTGCTTTTCTTTTTGGCCGGGGACCTATTCAGAGCACAGTACACACATGATTTTACCATTTCTCTTCCCCCACATAAATTAGCCTTAAGTATCAGGCTTACTACTAAACAACAGCATTTGTAAAGGTCTCTGTTGACTACTAAGAGGGCCAGGGGCTTCACTTTCCTGGCCCTGACTTCTCCCTGTTTTCAGACCCACACATTACTGTCTATGAACCTTCTCGCTTTTTGGCACCACCACAAGCCACCCTGGCAGCCTCTTTTCCTCAAGACCAACACCCCACTTGCCCCTACAATCACGTTCAATCCGCGAACAAGCCTTGGGGCTCTACCTCCTCCTCAGCCCACCTCCTTCCTATCACACTCCTGCTCTGAGCGAAGGGGCGAGGTCCTGCCCGTTAATCACTAGGCGCTTAGAGCCCCAGCTATAACGCAAACGACGGGTACTGAGCTCAACACCCCTCAGCGACCCCACCACCGCCGCCTCAGGATGAAGTACAGGCTGCCGCGCTCTTCTACAGGCCTGTTTCTGACCTTAGCCCTGCCCTCTTTCCTCGGTGAGTTCTACCATCCCAGGCCGCTCTCCACTTACCGGCTACCTCCTCGGGCTCTGCTGCGGTGGCCAGGGCGGCCGGGCTCTCCGGCCGGCGGCGAAGGGCTACCGCCGGAAATGTCTGGTCGACGGTGGACCGCAGGAGCGGGATCTGGGCTGAGGCGTTCCTGCTTAACCACTACGGCTGCCGCTGGCAACCCCATGTCCCCGTCACGGTGCCTTCGCCGGCTCTCTCGCTCGCGTTCGCTCTTTACCTCTTTCATGCTGCAAGCTCGGCGGACCCAAGGAAAAAATGAACCGTTCAGCACGGCTCGCTGAAGGAAATGACGAACTAGAGCCCTGGACTTCCGCTTCCGGTGTGTGGACCCACCCAGCAGCCCTCTCGGCAGAAAGGCGGAACATTTGACGCCCTAATGGGCGGGGCCGTAGTAAACAGAGCTGGGGTGGCGGGAGTTTTAAATTTCTTTCTTTTTTTTTTTTTTGGTCTTTTTAAGACAGGGTCTCGCTATGCAGTTCAGGCTGGTCTTGAGCTCACTTTGTAGCCCAGGCTGGTCTCGAACTCGCTCTGATCCTCCTGCCTCAGCCTCCCGAGTGCTGGGATTACAGGCGTGGGCCACTACGCCCAGCTGGGAGTTTTAAATTTCAAGAATAAATTTGGCGGGCGCGATGACGCATGCCTGTAATCCCAGCACTCGGGAGGCTGAGGCAGGAGGAGGGAGGCTGAGGCAGGAGGATCGTTGCAAGTTCGAGACCAGCCTGGGCTACAAAGTGAGCTCAAGGCCAGAAGGAAGTGAATAGCCAGACCCTGTCTCAAAATGACCAAAAAAAAAAAAAAAAAAGTAAATTTTACGCCTGCCATGATAGGACATCCCCGTAATCCCACCACTTGGTAAGAGGATCACTGTGAGTTCGAGGCCAACTGGGCTATATAGTGAGTTTAAGGCCAGCCTGATCTGCATAGTGAAACCCTGTCTCAACCCAAACAAACAAACACCACAGGGAGACAGCCCAAGTGCCTGGCAGTAGGGAATTCTTTAACAATTTAGTGGATAGTTTGTGGCCACTAGTGATGGTGTTTACAAACTATACTGCAAAGGGAAAAGCCGATTTATTAAACAATAAGGCAATATATATAAAAATGTGCTTACACTATGATTATATTTAAATGTGGAAATAGTTAGGAAAGAAGAGATGGAAATGCAATCATTGGTAGTAACCACTAAAATCAATATTTTTTCCATTTTTCCCCAAATTTCCTGAATTTTACACTATGTTGTCATTTATCCATTTATTACTTATTATTTATTTATTTACTTTTGAGACAGGGTCTTGCTATGTAGTCTAGGCTGACCCCCACCTCGCTATCCTCTTCGCTCAGCCCCTCACTACTCACCTGCCCAGCACCCCCCTGTGCCGGGATTACTGGTTATATAGCTGCCGGGCTCCATTTACATTTAGTTGATCATTCTTTTTTTTAATTAATTTCATTGGTACATTTTAGATATACATACTGATAACATTCATCACATGGAATTTGTACCTGTACATGATATATGATTCTTTTTTCCCATTATTTTCATGGGGTTTTTTTTTGACAATACTGGGGCTTTGAATACAGGGCCTTGTATCTCTAACCTCCTCGCTCTGATTATTTTGAGACAGGATCGCGCAAAATTGTACAAGCTGGTTTCGTACTTGCAATCCTTCTGCCTTAGTCTCCCAGAGACCTATTACAGACATGCGCCACCAAATCTGGCTTCCACTTTATTTGTATTTTTTGTTTTTGTTTTTTGAGACAGGGTCTCACTATGTAGTTAAGGTGCCCTCGAACTGGAGACAAGCCTCCGGCCTCACCCTTCCAGTGCTGGGATTACAGGCGTGCACCACCGTGCCTGGCAGTACTAGTACATTTTTAACAACACTTTTTAAAACCTTGGAATACCCATGCCTTCACTGAGTTATGGTCCACAGCCCTTCTTTGAGAAGTCCGAAAGGGACTCCTGTTTTATAGGTGACAAAACTAGGGTTGAGCAGTGATCTGTTCACCCCGTTCAACGCGCCAACTTGACCTAGACTCAGGAATTCGAACTCCTGCTTTCCCTGCTTCCAAGAGTACCAGGGCGACCGGTTGACCCAGGGGGATGTCTAGGAAGCCAAGCACCAGAGTTTTTGGCGCAGGCAAAGTAAAACGAAACTCAATTGCTGTTGGCCCCGCCCTTCTCCGAAGCCCCGCCCCAGCCGGGGGGGGCTGGGAGAGAGGTTTCCATGGTGACGACAAACAAGGCCAGGATTAGAGGGGCAGCTCCTGAGCTGCCACCTCTACGGCGCCATGATCCCCCCCGCAGACTCTCTGCTCAAGTACGACACGCCCGTGTTAGTGAGCCGGAACACGGAAAAACGGAGCCCCAAGGTAAGGACTGGTCTCAAGGGATGAAGAAGCCCGGAAGCTCCAACGGGGAAACACAGATCCCGGCGCTGAGCATCAGAAATCCCAAAGGACAGGGATTGCAGCGACTGCCAGTAAAGGGAATTGGGACCAGGAAGAAGGCTGGGAGAGTTTACAAGAAGCCAGATGTCCGGTGTGACCAAGAGGGACAGATTTAGGTGGGAAAGAAGTCACACGGAGATGGCTGGAGCTCGCTGTTATTCATAGTATCCGGATCCAAGACCAGGCAGGGATTTCCCCATCACTGGAAAGGGGAGGGCGGAGGCTGACCACTCATCCAGAAACACACATTCAGGCATTGGGTTAGGACTAGTGATTTTTCATGGCTTCTTTCCGCTGCGACATTTCTGCTGAGCTGACAGATGGGGAAAGTAGTATGGGAATGGGGAGGAATGTGCAGGAGACTTGAAGCAGTCCAGGGGGCCAGGATGTGTAGAGCCAAGTACCTGATTCATCTCTTATGCTCACCTTCCTTTCTCAGGCTCGGCCACTGAAGGTCAGCCCCCAGCAGCCTGGACCCTCCAGTACAGTCCCACAGCCACCTAAAGCCAGGCTGCCCTCAACTGCCTGTGTTCCAGATCCTACAAAGCAGGCAGAAGAAATTTTGAATGCCATTCTGCCCCCAAGGTAAAAAAAAAAAAAGCAGGACTAATCGCCTGGAGAAGGCACAAGTCTTTGCACCCTAGAGATTAGGGTTGTGGGAAGGCACTCTGCCTGTCATCTTGGCTGGGGTTTCTTCTCAGTTGCCCATAGCTCCCAGAGTTTTCATCTGTCTGGATCCTGGAAGGGTGTCAGGGAACTTCACGTCAGTCTACTCTAATTTCCTAAGTATTCTCAGCCAGTCCCATAGCCTTAGATGCTATGTGCTGATGGCTCCCAAATGTATATTTCCAGCACTCTCCTCTTCCTAAATGTTCGCCTAAACCATACAGTCTTCTACGTCCCCAGTATCTTTACCAAGATGTCCAATAGACAGCTCAACCCCAGTATGTCCAACCTACAATAAGCTCTTCCTCCTGCAACCAACTCATTCCAGACTTTTTCCTACTTGGGACTCAGGCTGCCTTTCTTTGCTATTGGTCTGTCACATCATGTGTTCTCTCCTTTAACAAATCTTTTGGCTCCACCTTCAAATTATCTCCCAAATCCAACTATTCTTTACCACCTCTGCCATCGCCATCTTGTTCGTAGGATCTGTCACCTTCCTTCTCAACATGATCCCTTTACCCAGCTTTTTTCTTCTGCAGCCACATTTATCACAGACATGCCTTTTCAACTGTTTTTATGTAATAACTGTGCAGCATAGCTTCCCTAGCTTTGGTACTGGGGATTAAACCCAAGTCCTCAAACTAAGTTACACCCTCAATCCCTTTTATGTTTTATTTTGAGACAGGATCTTGCCAAGTTGCTAAGTAGCCCAGGCTGGGCTTGAACTTGTGATCCTCCTGCCTCAGCTTTCCAGAGTAGTGGGGTTACAGGCATGTGCCATCATGTCCAGCTAGCATTTTTTTTAAGGTTGTGATGAAAAGGGGAAATAGGCAGAAACAGGAGGCTGTGATCTCCTTAGAGATGGAGGTCAGGTGATTTGTCTATTGGTTCCTTCCCACTAATGTCGCAGAAGTCTTCTACCCCATAGAGGTTCTGTCCTCAAACTCCTTGTTGCCATTCCAGGGCCTGCTGTGCCTCCAACACAGGATTCATGATGGGGAGCCCACACAAGCACCTTGCCTTCAAGAACCTCCCCAGCCCCAACACACACATTGGCCTCTTTCTGACTTAAATAGGGTTCATGGTGCCCTGTATCTCTACCCCATAAATTGGTGAATTCCCACTGTGCCTTCTGTTCAGATCAAGCAGAATGACTACATATCTGTTAGGAGGGTAAAAACTGGAACGGTGGGTGCTTTCACAGAGGACCCTCGAAGAATGGAGATCGCCCACCTATCCAACCCTGAAGTAAGGTGTATCAGTCAGGGTTTTTACTAGAGAAACAGATATAACACAAGATGTACAAATGTATAAGAAATTACAAGATTGGCTTATGACGGTCAGCCCAAGAGTTGTATGAGGAAGCGTGCAGAGGGGGTCTGCACACTGAAGACTAAAGGAATCAGTCCAGAGTCTGGAGTTCACTGCAGAGTTCCATGCAAGTCCATACCAGGAGGCCGATGAGCCTGCGAGGGAAGGATGAAGGCTCCAAGGCAGAAGCCAAAGAGTCTGCACTAGAAGCCAGGAGACGAAGTCCAAGCTGAAGGTGAAGACTGGAGCTCCTCCAAAAGGAATGGAAGTTCCTCTGCCCTTCCTCATTTCCCTTTTATATTATCTAGGTGATGATCCACCCTAGGCTGGCTCCTCTGCACCGTAGGGTGTAGAATTGCTAAGCCAATTGCTGAGCCAAGTTTAGCTAAGCTTCTACACTCAAGTTGAGATAAGCAGTCAACCACTACATAAGGTCTCTATGGAGGGAGCACAGTGGGCATGGCTTTGGAACCCACACTGCAAGGAAAAGAGAGAGATGGGGATCCTGGGGGTGGTGGTATAGCTATCTCTCACTCCTGTTCAGTTTGGGAGCTCAAAGGGCCCTCTCAAGCCTACTTGTTCCACTCAGCCTGGCTGTGTCTGTGCTGCAGGGAGTGGGTGGAAGACACACAGCTATGGATCCAGCAGGTGTCCAGCACCCCCAGCACCAGGATGGACGTGGTCCATCTCCAGGAGCAGCTGGACCTGAAACTGCAGCAGCGGCAGGCCAGGGAGACAGGCATCTGCCCTGTGCGCAGGGAGCTCTACTCACAGTGTTTTGGTGAGTGGGCCACATGGGGCTAGGCACCATATGCCCTCCTGATTGCTTCCCTACCCCTTCAGCACCAATCCAGGTCCTGAGCTCCACTGAGTAGGAGCCCACCCCATCCTGGAATCACCCCTCAGCCTCACCCATCCAGTAACTACTCACCCCCACCCCTTCCAGCCCTGCCTCTCCCACTGTTACTGAATCCAAGAGATGAGACATCAATGTGGAAAAAGGAGGATTTATTTCCAGGATTTTAGATGCACATTGACCCAGATGAAATCAGGTCCAAAGAGGTGGGCGTTAGAACAAAGGAAACGTTCTAGTTTTATACATTTGGCTGACAGGGGTTGGTCTTTAGAAACTGGGCACGGGGGGGGGGGGAAAGGGTGCAGAAGCAATTAGTAACTCAGCCTTGAAAGAAGACAAAGCCTTATGAGTCCTGTGAGAACAAGATGACATAAACTCTGTTTACAGGACATAGTTGCCAATCTTATCTGTACCAGAACAAGAAGTTATAGCTACAGGGGAGGAGGAGGCAGGTTGAGGGGGACTGCTAAGTCCCCCTTCACTACCAGTCCCCCACCTGCCACTCACTCTGATCCTGACAACCTGGAATCCTTAGCCCTTAGCAGATGTTTGAGGTAAGGTAAGAACTTCCAGTTCAAGTCTTTATTTGTTCCAAGGTATTTTATAATAAGCATGCACTAATTTTTAATCAGAAAAATTAATATTCTCTATTTATACACATTCATCAACGTTCAGCTCTTGGTCCAGAAAAATATTGCAGAGTGATTTGTGATGAGTTCGCAGACAGGGATTTAAGATCTGCCTTCCCAAGTGCTGGTGTCAAATGGCTGTCCTGAACTGCCTCACCGGCCCTGGGGACACTGATCTGCAAACCCCTCCCAACTCAGGTGCCCCTCAGTCTCAGTGTGATTGGGTTTGCCCTCCACATTGGTATTTATGGATGGGAGAGGTAGGCAAACTCTAGATCCTGCTGCTCCCACCCCTAAATCAGTCCAACCAAAGAATCCACTTTTAAACAGCCACCACCTTCACACTGAAGAGGTCGTATTTCTTTAGTAGTGCTTAGGTTCTGCCTGACGATGGAAGGAAGGGGACCTACTGCTGCAAACAATGTGCAGCCCTAGTGTACCTGTGCTCTGGCAACGCACACTTGCTGACTGCATGCCACTTCCAAGTGCCGACTTCAGAGTGGCTGCATGGCCCAGCTTGTTGGTCCATAGCCTTCCCTGAGGCCGTGTCTCCAAGAAAGAGCATACCCCAGAGCTCTTCCCAAGAGGAAGGCTGTTTTGCCATAGACAAAGTGCACATCCCCTTGCTTCTGCCTTCTCTGATCCTGTGGTGTGCATATTGGAAGATGAACTGATCCGGGAGGTCACCATCAACTGTGCGGAGAGGGGGCTGCTGCTGCTGCGCGTCCGAGATGAGATCCGCATGACCATTGCTGCCTACCAGACTTTGTATGAGAGCAGTGTGGCATTCGGCATGAGGAAGGCACTGCAGGCCGAACAGGGGAAGTCAGACATGGAGAGGAAAGTGAGTGGGATTTACCAGGGCCCTTTGGCCCTCTGAGGCTCTTCTGTCAATCTTGGAGCCACATCTTTGTTACTGCAGCACTGAATTCTGGCCCCTAGAGTACCCTTCTTGCATTTGTGGCCCCGGCCCTGGACTATTCCAGCAGGGCCCAAGAGGTTACTAATAGCCAGTCTGGTGGTCTTGGCATGGTTGTCCCCTAAGGAAGCTCCATGCCAGTCACTGACCTCCCACTGGGTGGCAGTAGAAACCCTGGCAATATCAGTTTGGACAGCTGTTTCCCAAGTCCCCCCACACCACTACCCACATGGTGACACCCCAGGATGATGGGGCATTGTGTCTTCAGATTGCAGATTTAGAGACGGAAAAGAAAGATCTGGAGAGGCAAGTAAATGAGCAGAAGGCAAAATGTGAGGCCACCGAGAAGAGGGAGACCGAGAGGCGACAGGTGGAGGAGAAGAAGCACAATGAGGAAATTCAGTTCTTAAAACGGACAAATCAGCAGTTGAAGGTAATGGAGGTGCAAGCCCTGTGCCCTGGCCCAGCCCCAGCCTCAAAGGCTAGACTGTTCATTACTTCCCCACTGGTTGGTGGCTTTTAAATGGCCTACATGCACTGCCAAGGGGTAAAGGAGGCTGACTTTGGGAGCAGGTGAAGGTTCTCCATTCCTCTATCTCTGGGTGTGGGCCTGTTCTCAACTCTGACACTCCACGATACCTAAGCAGTGAAGGACATTCTTCCCCCTGGAAGAGTTGCTTGTCCTCAGAGAAAGAATGTTACAGAAAGTGGAGCCGCTTTCTGCTCAGAGTTGGTCCTCGCAGCCTTCCTCCATGTGCAGGGTCTCCGCTGCAGGCTTTGGCAGCAGTGTTTTCTCCTCGAGTCCCCTGAGGTGCTGTGTCTGGGACAGCCAGTGGGTGAGCAGTGAAAGGCATTGAGAGGATTTGAAATTGGAGACCTCCTCCAGTGTATGGGGGTTTTCCTCAGAGCCCAGTTGCTGGTGGCATGCTTCTGTCCACCTGAGGTAGAAGGAGGAGCTGAGGGAAAAAAGGCTGTGTGGACGAGAGGCCAGGCTACCGGCCTCTGCAACTCCATGCTCTGTCAGGCTAAAGATTCACAAAGGTCAGGCCCCAGATCAGCAGCATCCTCATCATGGGCAACTTTGAGAAATACATTATTGAAGCTGGGCGAGGTGGGGCACACCTGTAATCCCAGCATTCCAGAGGCTGAGTCGAGGACCCCAAGTTTGAGGCCAGCCTTGGCGGCATAGAGAGGCCCTATCTCAAAAAAGAAATTATTGGCCCATCCCAAATCTGCCGAGCAGAAACTGTGTAGTTGGTGTCTTGTGATCCAGCTTTTTTTTTTCAATACTGGGGATTGGACCAAGGGCCTTCACACTCCACAATCCATCTTGATGACAAAGTCCCAGGAGATTCTGGGGCTTGCTGAGGTTTGAGCATCACTCTTACACATGTATGGCTTATGGACGTTGAACAGCTTTCTCTATGGCCCTGGCCCAATGCCTAGTCTTAGAGCAAGGTTCCATTCTTGAGATTGGCAAGCATGCTGGGGTCTGCACACCAAAGGCCATCCATTTGTGATAAAGAAGGCTTTGTGTTAACCACACCAGCGGATGACAGAGATTTTGTTAATGAAGAGCATAACAGAAACCAAAAAAAAAAAAAAAAAAAAAACAAACCCCTAGAAGCTTTCATAGCCAGATGTCTGCATTTACTTAGCCTCTGAAGGTGCTTCCCTACTATAACCCTTCATCAAGCATATTCCTTTGTCATAAGCCCAGGTTCCTCAGTTCCCCCTACAGCAGTTAGCAATGAGAGCAAAATGAAGTACTTTAGCACCTGACGTTCAAAAGCAACCTTGTAATCCCCAGGGTGAAGTATGGTTTAGAAATGAGTTATTTTTATTGGCACAAAGCAGCACTACAAATAAAACTTCTTGCACTCCCCAGAATAGACCTACTTACATACAGATCTGTCCACAGACCATGACAGTAAATTATTGTACTGGCTGCCAGAGGAGCCCAGTAAATAACTCCCAAGTCTCTTAAGCTTTTACTACAAGATGGACAGCTTCCTACTCACTGGTAGTAATTTTCTCTAATTGGGTGTCAAGTTGTCTCAGTGGCTGATAATTTGTTTTTTTCCCAAACCTCTGGTCCCAGCAATGCCTCCAGGATCCTAACCTAGACGGCCAATGTTTAACTTAGCAGACATACTCAGACCTGAAGTCTGAGCAACGAAAAACCATTATTTCAACTTTTATTCAATTTCCTTTTCAACACTTTACATTATATTATACATTGAGCTTATTGTATGGAAACCAGCACAGCTATGGTTTCTCCTGATGTTAGCAACACTGTATGCCAAGCCAGAAATCAGCTAACATAGAAAATATGGAGTTGGGAATGAAAGAAAATAAACACTTGGAGTGGCAGCATTTGGATTATTCTTCCAGACTTTTATCACCTCTCAGCTATTTGTTAGGCTGTAAGTTTCAAGTATTAATGGAGTTTGTTTTTGTTTTTCAGGCCCAACTGGAAGGCATTATTGCACCAAAGAAGTGATAATTTCCATATGGGTCTCAGTGAGCACTCCCACCCCCATCATAAGCCCTTTGTAATAAAAAGCTGGTTTCCTGAATGAACAATGCAACCCATCCCCAATCACCAGCTACGTATTTGTCAGGAGTCACACTATGGCCTGTGTCATGAAGCACCTGGTCTGGTGGTTAGGCTGCTGGTTGGGCAACGGAAGGTAGTGTAACCCAGTCTGAGTGTGCAGCTTTAGGGTCAACCTGGAGACTTTGTCAATTCAAATCTTAAGAAGCAACTGATTTCCCAACAACCCTAAGTACTGACTTCTGGCCAAGCAGCTGCTCCTGTCTCAAATTCTTGCTTCAATCCATCTCATACCTTAACTTGGGCTTCCCTGGCCCCAGTCCTTTCACGTTCATACCTACTCAAATGCAATTTTTAGTAAATCTTCTTGGAGCTATGGTTTTATATTGTAACATCATTTTTTTTTTTTTCCTTTTTTTGAGACAGGGTCTCGCTATGCGGTTCAGGCTGGCCTTGAGCTCACTTTGTAGCCCAGGCTGGCCTCGAACTCACAACAATCCTCCTGCCTCAGCCTCCCAAGTGCTGGGATTACAGGTGTGAGCCACCACACCCAGCTCATATTGTAACATCTTGTCCCCATTCACTATGTCAGCTGGATCCTTTTCTCCTTAGATGCAGACTGCCTAGATTAGGAAACTGTGGCACACAATTAAATCATGACTTTGGAGAAAGTAAATGCTTGCTGGAAAGGAGTACAAGTCCCAGTGTCCTTTGGAGCTGTCTGTACCTCAGCTCCTCCTCGACAACAGACATCATTTGTTTTCCTTATTCTGCAGAAAATCAAACCCTGACTCCACACCCTCCTTATTAGCCAAGTTTAATTAGCCATTGGAGAGGTAACAACATCTTGCATACAGTTCTAATTATCAATGATCAGCTACAGGCTACAAACTTTTGTAGACTCAGAAGATTGAATTAGCAACATAAAATCTTTAACTCAGGGCAGACCAGGGTGCGCCAGGGCAGCAAGCTAGGTCATGTCCATTATTCAGTCACATTGCACAAGTACCTTTCCTAAGAAGGCACTAACATTTCCATTTGTTTAGAATGCCTGGAATGCTCGGTATCCCCTAAGAGGAACAGGGACTCCCTCCTTGGCAGGACTTTGATGTGACACTGGTCCTGGTCAAGGCTTCCAGGCTCAGTTATTCCAGAACTGTCACACAAGAACTGTACTTCAAGTGAACCACATTCCAGTACTCCATCCTGAACTGGAAGTCACAGCTCTGGACAACTGTCCCGGAGAACTCTTAAGTCTCCAGGGAGAGAACTGTTCCTTTGATCTGCTGGTTCCACGATGTGACAGTAAAATACCTGTGTCCAAGTGGGTCCCCTTAAACTCAGTGAGGGACAGAAGTTGCTAAAGCTTTTCCTTCCTATTTTTAAGCCTAGCCATGTATACTACTATCCTTGAACCTACTTCTCAGTACAAAAGAAATACCATGCAGACTTCATGTCCCATTTCTGTCAATATACACACACAACAGGGGCATGCTCGGGAGGAACTAAAGGCAGAGTCAAGTGTCTGAAGTGGCACAGCACTCTTTAAGGCTGAGGGGCTTTCTTATTTCCACTAGCACTGCTGAATGGTTTCAGCTGCTAAACCTCAGAACAAACATATTATGGCCTTAGAAATGCCACCTGGGCATTAATAAAATCAACACAATTTCTAATTGTACATTTTGGTATAATTTAATAAACAACTCTAGATGTTACTGCTTATGTCTGAATTTTTTTTGTTTGTGTTTTTGTCCTTCTGAGTCATTGGTCTTCTTTTTGTTCCGGTTCCTATTTTTCACATTGTGGGTTTCATAGTATCGCACACCAACTTTTTTGGATTGTTGCTGCCGTACTGCTCGCCTTCGCTGTAAAAAGACACCGAGAAAAACAACAACAAAAAATCAAAAGCTGTAAGTCATAAAACAGGAGCTGTTTCTCATCTCTCCTCCACTTCCTGTGCAGCTACCACAGATACTGGAAGCAGAGATAAGGGGGGAGGCTCCTTCAGACACCTGTTCATTCCTCCATCATGACCGATGACTCATTTACAGCTTCTCATCCAATGTGTGAATGCTTTCTGCAATATTACTAACAAACTTCCCCTCCCGAGAGGGCCCGCTCCAGCTTTGCATAGCCATCACAAAGCCGCCCTTCACAGAGGACAGTGATCAGCCTGCCTAGCCAGCTCCGCCACTCACATGTCACTGACCTGTGACCACACAAATCCCTACTCTCCCAGATGTTAGGCTACAGCTGAGAAGACAGCAGGAATTTCTGAGTCACAAGACATGGACTCAAGGACTTCTATCCAGCAGGCCTCCTCTTAATCTTAAAGTGCCCACCACCCAGGTCACTGAAGACTGGGCTTCCTGGATTCAGTTCCAAGACCATCCTTGTTTCAGAGAGGGCTTTGAGAACCAGACTTCTCTCTACTTGCTATACTTGGGTCTTATCTAAGAATCAAAATACTCACTTCCTTAGAGGTAAGCATCCTTCGAGTTTTACTTGACTGTTCTTCTTCCCTCTGTGCCTTCCGCTTCCTTCCCTTTTTAGTAGGTGCTAGACACAATAATTAAAATACACAGGAAAAAATGAATTTTCTAATAGTTTGTTTGCAAATCCTATGGAGGGGACAAGCTTGTCAAAAGGAGAGAAAGACGTGTACAGATGGAGTGAGTGAGTAAAGTAGAGGAAAGCAGGAGGAAGCTGCGAAGGCAGCAGGTCAGAACAGACCACATAGGCCATGGCATGGTTGATGCCTGTGTCACACTAATACCCTTGATGTAGAAGCTGTTTGTCAAAAGGAATAAAAGATAAACATATGAAATACCCCTGCCCCAATCTGTGCACTCATCCTTAGATTCTAAGGTTAATGAGGTATTTTTAACAACATTTCTGAATTGCCAATTTAATTCTAACTAATGTGCACAATAAAAAGTAGATAATCTAGTCTATGTGAATAATAATACAGGGAACCAGGGTAATCCACTAGATGTGGTAAACATTTATGTGGATGACAATACTTGAGAAGCTGAAAATTAAAGTTACCTGAAATTCTGAAAATGCAAACCACATCTAAACAATTTAAATAATTTATATTTACCTGTTTCATTTACTTCTTCTTTAGGTGGTGTTTTTTGTTCCTCAGATTTTGCAAAAACTTTTTCACTTAACCCCTTGGATATTCTGCAACAGAAAAAGCCAAGTAATAAAGATGCCCAGCATTACTCTCTGCTGCACCAGTCAAGATGGCTTGGAGGCCTCCCATGCACTCAACGATAGGCACTCTGCTCCTATTCTGCTACCACTAGGAGACAGACTCAACACCCAACAGTTTCTGTAGCTCCCGAGGCATTTCTAAAATACCGGATAATTAAGCTTTTCATATTCCAGGTGTAAGAATATGACAAAATTTACAGATCACTTTTTTTGACACAGGGTCTTTTTGTTTTTTGTTTTGTTTTGTTTTCCGGTACCGGGAACTGAACTCACGACCTTGCGCTTGCCAGGCAGGTGCTGTGCCGCTAAGCTAACTCCCTAGCCCCTGACACAGGGTCTTATTCTGTAATTTAGGCTGGTTTTGAACTCACTATGTAGCCCAGGCTGGTCTTGAGCTTGTGGTAATACCTCCTGCCTCAGCCTCCCAAGTGCTGGGATCACAGATGTGTGCCACCACGCCCAGCCCTTACAGATCACTTTTTTTTTTTGTCTTTTTGGGACAGGGTCTCACTATGCAGTTCAGGCTGGCCTTGAGCTCACTTTGTAGCCCAGGCTGGTCTCAAACTTGCAACGATTCTCCTGCCTCAGCCACCCAAGTGCTGGGATTACAGGCATGAGCCATGAAGCCCAGCCAGATCACTTTTTAAAAACAGTAACTTGATTAAAAAAAAACAAAACCAAAAACTACTCAGGTTCAGACAGAGCTCAGTGGTTAAGCACTTGCCTAGCACGCACAACCCCTGTCCAATACTCATGGCAAGTTTTAGGGAAAGGCACAAACTACAATTTTTAAGATGATGAGTGTTACCTGACTGCTGAGAACTTTTTAGCCCTGGCTTTGTTTAAAAACTTCTGGTATTTTGCAATTTTCTCATCTAGGGCTTTAATCACTGCTTTGGTGTCATTTCCCACTTGCTCTTCCTGGGACTCCTGATCAGCCTCTTCCTTGTCATCGTCTTCTGATTGCTCCTGCTCCTGTTCCTCCTCCTCATCAGAAAAGCTCTCCAGCTCATCTTCAATGTCTGACGCCTCCACAGGAACCAGGTCATCCCCAGAAAATTGGGGCATGACATTGATTTTGCCAAAGTTCTGGCGAACCCGTGCAAGGATCTGCTGCATCTCAGAGTTAGCATCACAGGGATGGTCCTCTTCTTTTTCTTTTTCAATGACAGGTTCTGAACCTTTACCTATGATCTCTGCAGTTTCCTCTTCCACGTTGTTCTGGGTTGTTTCAGTAGCATCTTCCGAAGATGAGGAAGGAGGAAGCTATCAAAGCCAAGAACAGTGGGGCAGGAAGAGAAATGGAATCAGGAAAGAAAAACAATGCTTGAACTCACACTTTGCTCTTGAATAAACAGTTCTCTGCTTAGGACTTAGGGAAAGCGCAAAACACGCCCAAATTGATTCAGACCATCAATCTACTCAAAGCCAATGAACCCTAGACCCAGCAATCAGTACTTAAAAGGATCATAGGGCAGACCTGTGGTTATAAAAGGTCTGCCAGTTATAGTGTTTAATCAATAAAACCAAACAATCATTTAGTACAGGTAGGTGAGATTCCCTAGATCTCCCTGGAATATTGCAAGGAGCAGGTAGTTGCTGAGCAAACATGTATGAAAATGAATGCCAGACTCAACTGTGAGGACTAGAACAGTACTAAGGAGAGGCATTCGGAGGTGTCTTGAAAGAATGTAATACCTGCAGAGGAATTTCATGAGCAGGGCTCAAATGAACACTCTGAGCTCAGGAACGCTACAGTGACTGGCTGGTCCTATGGGCCATGCTTTCCACTGGTGCTTCCCACACTTACCCATCATTTCACCTTTGCAACCCAGACTCACAGAAATGAAGTGATTTTCCAAAGTCGAGTACGAAATAAGCTGTGTGTGGTGGTGCACGCCTGTGATCCCAGCACCCAAGAGGCAGATGGATGGAGAATTTCAGGCCAGCCTGGGCTACACAGTGAGTTTAAGGCCAAGCCTGGACTACTTAGTAAGACCTTGTAGTGGACTGACAACTGGTGGTCAACTTATAACCCCCAGCTGAACTGAGTAAGTGTGGTGCTAGGTGTGGGAGGCCCACCTGAGGACTGCTGCCAGCAGCATAAGAGGCAGAACTGGAGAAGTGAGGTTGTTGGGAACAGAGAAAGGCTTTTGAAAA